GGAGGTGGTTTCAACCTTAAGGTAATCTTAGGTTAGACTACTGGAATGATATGAAAATTTGATTTTCTAATGTTTTCCTCCTATAAGCATTGCAAAAATTTGAGACAATTTTAAGGTGTGATTAGATATGGAATGAATTAGTTTTTAATTGTTATTTTTTAACTATAGTTAATTTTGAAAAATGATAGTATGATTAGTTGATAGTGGATATTTAAGTTTAAATTAAAATATTATTTAGAATAAAATAATTAAAGCTGATTTGACGTAAAAGTAGGAAAAAAATGATTGAAAATGATTATTAGTTAAAATTACAACCCATTTTTAATGAACTACATTTGGAGGGCTAATAAGTAAATTTGCTTACTTTATCTAATTTTCATAGTTAAAAGTTACACCAATATACCCAAGAACGCTTGGATGAGATGACTTGGGTCTCTTCCAGCTTAACCAGTGGTCTCGTGTTCGAGCATTGGGAATGCAGCAGTGTTAAAACTCTTGAGGGAGAGCTTTGCCGCCCTTGTGGTCCTACCCGACTCGATTCTGGATTAGTCGGTTCCCCTGTGGATCCGAAAACCAGAAAGTCCCTGTACAAAAAAAAAAAAGTTACACCAATATGTGTAACCAATAATGTGCATACATTTTACATTTACCGATAAAAAAAAAATAATAATAATGTGCATACATTATATATAGTGCAATAATAAGTGTGACAAATGCATGGAGATTTTAGAGGACAAAAAAATGTGGCTATAATTGAGTCAACATATATATATAAGCTTTTTCAGGAGATAAATCAATGTTGTAAAAAAAAAATCTTCTTTTTTGGATGTTTTGGCAGAAAAAAGTTTGTGGATTTTGTAATCTAAAGGACCTTTTCTCATGGGATCTCCCTTTTCTCCTCTATTACTTAAATAAAAGACCCATATATTATTTATAAGTTCCAAATATTATATTATCCACGTCATTTTTTTTCACGTGCGGTACTATTTTCAATTGATGGGCATATGCACTTATTGAAAATAATTAAAGATATAATTTAATCATTAAAAAATTTACTATATTTTTAAGTAGCCACAATTAGCCATGAAATATTAAAAAGAGCTTACAATTTTATCATTAATATTATTATTATTCTTTATATCAGAGCAATGAATGATAAATTAAAAAAAAAA